TTCAACGCCCCTGTAAGCGGCGTCTCCCGCCTCATTAAGTAGAATCGCAATGTTGAAACCGAGTTGCGGGAAGTAAATGACATTGACATCTATGTCGTAACTCTCGGGAATGGTCGTCGCTATCTCTATCGCAACCTGCTTCAGAAGGCTGTTCATACCGTCATACCTGTCCTTTATGCGATCCAGCTCCCTGTCTATTCCGGGTTTCACAACGGTTCTGCCCTGTTCCTCAGAGCTATCAATGTCGACCTGATATGGTCAGAATCGGTTGACTTTGGTGAGAAGTATTGTGCATACTATTTCTTGTATCATTCTTCCGACTTTGTACAATTGAGCTGCCTCGAAAGCACGTAGCGCCTGCAACATGGTTAGTCGACTTTCGAGTGAGCGAATCCGATGAGGACCTTGTTATGGAGAGCCAGATTAGCACCAACTGAAGTCTCTCGTAAAGCGTCGTGGATGTCAATTCCATAAAAAGCAAACTTAGGCCATATTAGCCAGGCATCCCCACAATGAGAATGTTATGACATACGGCCAGTAAAGTAGCCCACACAGTCGCCTTGAACCCCATAATCTTCCCGCTTCCGGTACTGATGCCCTTTCGAAGGTTGATCATTGCGTATTGGAGGTTCTTAATGTGCTTCAAGCCCTTGACCATCTTCTCCAATGGATTAAAATTGTCCGCCCTATGATACACACTGATAAAGAAATGTCGCTCATTGATAACGTCAAGTTCCACACTCGGTCGGAGGAACATCTGCTTTAATCTATTTCTTCCTTGTGGTGTAGATGCAAAGCGCTGGAAGAGACCATAAATTGAAAGCCCTTCCTTTGATGACGTTGACTTTCTTCCTGGGCCCTGATTCACCATGCTGGGATGAGTCTTAGATTCCATAATCTGGAGCGAAAGTAAGGTTCTGCCGTTGGCAAACCTACTTTGCTGTAAACGGATGCCTCGCTGTTTCAGAGAGGATGAGGACTTACATAGTTCCGCTTAAAGTGAACATTTCCACGGATGATACTCTGAAGATTCCAGAGGCTCTCTCGTTGAACATCGACATGGAAGCTCGACGTCTTTGTAGATAAGCGAGTATGGCACCAGCACATCCAATCGTCACTGTATTTTCCATATCAATGGAGCTGGACACATGCAGAAGCTTGCCTTCCTGCAATGTGAGGTCCAGATTCTCAGTATCTAATTGTTCACCGTCAACTAACCCACTGTGTGGCACGAAGAACTTGATGCGATGCTCATGTCTTGAAGATATCTCTAAAGCAATCAGTTTGTTCTTTGCATTGGAATAGTTGAATTCTTGCGATGGACGGACGTCAAGTTGGTAGGGGACATAGGAGTGTGTATCTGCAAATATCAGTTATGTCCAATTCTAATCAAACAGCAAAACTACGCTCCGCTAACCGCTAATTTGTTCATCCCATGGTCTTTCTTGGAGGTTGATTGGATCCACACGGGGAGATATCAAGAGTACTGTAGGCTTCGTCTGGAGGACCACTTCAGACTCGTTAGCCGCTGAAGCATGGGAACGGAGAAGGTCAGACAAACAACTGTCGATTATATCCTTACTGGAATGCCGTAGATCGCCTAGGAGGTATAGTTTCTCTTCCAGCGCAGAATAATAGGAACATCCGACAGTCCCTGAATCTCTCATATCCACTGCCACTACAATTTGTTCAAGTTCGTCATCGATGGAGTACTCAAACTTGGCACTACCAGATCGAAACTGCTCAGCATTATTAGAGGTAGGTGCTCTTGCTCTTAGTGTCTCTTGTGAAGAGGGAGGCATGTTGCCTGAAGTCATCGGTCGTGGAAAGTCGTCATGTTTGGACGAGGGATTGAAAGAGTCGAAATATCGAGGATGGATCGTACGTTTTCTTTTCGTGCGTGGCTCCATAATGCGTGGGTGGTTGCTTTCAGATTGAGAAAGTGTCTGCTAGGAGGTTCGTTCTATGAAGAACACGCCTTCAAAGCGGCACTACTTTACCAAGTCAAGTGACAGCCCCGAAAATTTACAACACCGAAGAAAATAACGGAATGGAAATTCTATAGTAAATATGTACAATTTAGTCGTCACTTATGATACACTGATTATGCTATGATACATGAGCAAGAGTAGAGATCAAGTCATACAAGGTCATCATCTTAACACCTTTTCCAGACAATAGCGCCGAATACCCAAATATAAGAAAGAGCAAAGTGCGTAATGAATCTTAGGAACTTTCAGTTTCTGTCGTCACCGGAGCTTCTGCTGCTACTGCAAGCCCACTCTTGTCGGCATTGAACGTGACACGAGCAGTTTGCCCGGACGTGACTTCGCCGCGAATGATCTTATCAGCCAGCTTGTTGCCGATTTCTTTGGCAATCAAGCGGTTAAGGGGCCGGGCTCCGTATTTGGGATCGTATCCCTTCTCGCAAAGCCAGTCTTTGATCTCGTCATCAACCTTCAGAATCATTCGGCGGTCGTCGAGACGTGATTGCAGCTCCTTCACTCTGATATCAACAATATCCCTCAGAGCGTCGCGGGACAGCCTCTTGAAAATGATGAATTCGTCGATACGGTTGAGAAACTCTGGCGGATAGGCCGATTGTACAACATCCATAACTGACTTTTTGGTTTCAGGCGCAAGCTCGTTATCACCACCTTCCTTGTAAGGGTGCAAAGGATCGGCGCCTACAAGAATGTCGGCACCGAGGTTGGATGTCAGAACAATGAGAGTATTCCTGAAGTCAACCTTGTGGCCCTGAGAATCCGTGAGAAACCCTTCATCAAGGACTTGCAAGAGCAAGGCAGAGATGTCGCGATGCGCCTTCTCGAACTCATCAAATAGCAGAACCGCGTAGGGCTTCCTCCTCACAGCCTCTGTGAGTTGACCGGCGTCATCGTAGCCAACGTAGCCGGCTGGAGAGCCGATCAAACGACTAATAGTGTGTTTTTCTTGGAATTCGCTCATATCGAACCGAACAACAGCCGTCTCCGTGGAGAACAAGAACTCAGCCATCTTCTTGCAAAGCTCTGTCTTGCCAACACCCGTAGGACCGAGGAACATGAACGAGGCGAGGGGCCGATTTTCGCCACTAAGACCAGCTCTTTGCATGCGCACGGCGTTTGCAACTGCAGAAAGAGCCTCATCCTGCCCACGAACGGATTGACGTAGAGTGTCTTCCATTTTGATGAGCTTCTCCACCTCACCGGCCATTAGCTTGTTGACAGGGATGCCAGTAGTCCGAGAGACCACGTTTCCAATATCATCAGCGGTGACGGAGTCGTGGATGAGACTAGTCTGGGCCTTTGTGGCTTGCTCTTCACCCTCTTTGGGAAGTTTGGCTTCGAGAGTAGGAATGGTGGCATATCTCAGTTCACCCGCCTTTGCAAAGTCTCCTTCTCTTTGGGCTTTCTCCAACTCGAAGCGAGCACGCTCCAGCTCCTCTTTGGCACGCTTGAGCTCTTCGATTTCCGATTTCTCCTTCTCCCATACCTCGGTCAATTTTCTAGCTTCTTCTTGTTTAACCTTCAGATCTTCCTGTAGTTTGTCTCTTCTTTCGCGGCTACTGACATCGGTCTCCTTGCGAAGTGACTCCAGTTCAATTTGGATAGTAGTGATATCGCGATCAAGCTCTCTGATCACATCGGGCTTTGACTCCTGCTGTAGTCGCAAGGCAGACGCCGCTTCGTCGACCAGATCGATAGCCTTGTCGGGAAGGAATCGGTCGGTGATGTATCGGTTGCTGTAAGTTGCTGCCGCCACCAAAGCACCATCCGTGATTCGAACACCATGGTGCACTTCATACTTGTTCTTGATACCCCGCAAGATGGATATGGTAGCGGCAACCGAGGGCTCCCCGACCTGTATAGGCTGGAATCGTCTAGCCAAAGCCACGTCCTTCTCAATCAATCTGTATTCGTTCAAAGTCGTAGCACCACAGCATTGTAGCTCGCCGCGAGACAAGGCCGGTTTCAGAAGGTTGCTGGCGTCGATACTGCCTTCGGCCTTCCCCAAGCCAAGCAAGGTATGAAGCTCGTCAATGAAGAGGATCACACCCCCTTGCGCATCCTCGACCTCCTTAAGGACAGATTTCAACCGTTCTTCGAAGTCACCTCTGAATTTAGCACCAGCAATGAGAGACCCCAGATCCAGAGCAATAACACGTTTGTCCTTAATGCTCTCGGGAACGTCTCCTTGAACAATTCTCTGTGCTAAACCCTCCAAGACAGCAGTCTTTCCGGTACCCGCAGCTCCGATCAGAACGGGGTTGTTTTTCGTTCGTCTGGAAAGAACCTGAATGGTGCGATGGATTTCGGCATCACGTCCAATGACCGGGTCCAATTTGCCTGCCTTAGCCCTGGCTGTGAGGTCGACACCGAATTGTTCCAAGGCCGACTTTTCTGGTTCACCACCAAGGTTCATGCGATGGGTACCTCCGGGAGGATGAGGGCGACCATTGGCATAAGTGCGTACAGGCAAGACGGACGGGAGCCGGGCGACATTCGTGATCCGGGTGGGCGCAAGTAGACGCAATGCCTGAGAAGGTTGAAGAAGGCGGTTCGATGACGGTAGGGAGGATGGTCGGAGAAGTCGACCCCGAGCGAGTTGTAACCTTGACGACATGATCAAACAGCCGACCGTGTGCACAGTTGGGTGTGAAAGGAAAAGGTACAACACTGCAGATCTTCAGACCAGCTCCCGATATAGCTGGGGAGACCTATATACCTCGCCGGGACAGGCGGCCAGCCGATTGCCTCACAGGCGTCGCGAGGCTTCTCGAAGGCTCCACCGCACGGCGAACGATGAGTGGCGGAAGCTCCCCCAAAAGGGCCAGCTAGCTCCGTCACCGTGGGGTCACATGACCAGCCGGAATGAGGGGCTCAGTTGGTGCCGCCGAAAAATTTCACTACTCAGACCCTCCGCTGAAAAAATACTTCAGAACACCTTTCCCCTCCTATTTATTCCTCCTTTTCTTCTTCTTTCCTTCTACTCACCACACACATCCCCCAAACACACATTCACAATGGGTTTCACTGATCTTGCCTCCGAAGCCGGCCTTACCCGTATGTTCACACTTTCCCTTTCTTTTTCATCATTTCCCTTTCCAATCTGCTCTCAGCAGTAACTAATGGTACCCCTCAGTTGCCAACAACTACCTGGCTACCAGGAGCTACATTGTTGGGTAAGGCACTCCTTTAGGGATCCTTTTCCCCTTCCCCTTCTGCATTGGTGCCTTTTGAAAGATTTTTTCTTGTTTGCATGATGAAAAGAAATTGGTCCGTGTTTATGAGGCGGCTTAAGACCCCGCTGCAAGATTAAACACAATGCGAGAAATCGCGCTTCTGATTACTTGGAAAAATTCTTCTTTGCTTTCTGTTTTCCGTCATTCATGGATACCTTCACTAGCGATGATGGTGGCATAAAGCTAACTGGAATATAGCGATGCTCCCTCCCAGGCCGATGTCGTGACCTTCAAGGCCTTCTCCGGTGCCCCTGACGCCGAGAAGTACCCCCACGCTGCTCGCTGGTACAAGAACATCGCCTCTTTCGAGGCTGAGCACGCCTCCCTCCCCGGCGATGCCTCCAAGCCCTACACTGCCTACGGCCCTGAGTCCACTGAGCTGCCCACCAACCCCAAGGCTGCTAACGACGACGACGACATGGACCTCTTCGGCTCCGATGATGAGGAGGAGGACCCGGAGGTCGTCAAGGAGCGTGAGGCTCGCCTTGCTGAGTACCGCAAGAAGAAGGAGTCCAAGCCCAAGCCCGTTGCCAAGTCCCTCGTGACTCTCGAGGTTAAGCCCTGGGGTATGTTTCATCTCCATATATCGCATTCATTGTGTATGATTCTAACCAGTCACAGATGATGAGACCAACCTTGAGGAGATGGAGGCCAACGTCCGTGCCATCGAGATCGACGGTCTCGTCTGGGGTGCGTCCAAGTTCGTTACCGTTGGTTTCGGTATCAAGAAGCTCCAGATCAACCTTGTCGTCGAGGACGAGAAGGTCTCCCTCGACGAGCTCCAGGCTCAGATCGAGGAGGACGAGGACCACGTCCAGTCCACCGATGTTGCTGCCATGCAGAAGCTGTAAGCGGAACGTTGTTTAATGATGAAGATAAATGGCGTGATGATGGATTTTCTTATGCTATCCCACGGAAATATACTGTCATGAACTTGAATAACCCAAGCCGACTGGGGACACCCCTCGGCATAACGAATACCAAAAATCAAAAATACCCAATTAATACCCTACTGGTGCAGATGTAGCCGATAATTTCGTAGATTAGTAGCTTAACCCCTCCTACTAGTAGAAACCACACCAAGTGGGATGAACTGAACAAATGAAATGCTGCCCAATTCAATCAAAACCCGGTTGGGCCTTTGGCGGGGGGAGTGGCCGGTCAATCCGGACCTTGAAATTCTTTGCCAAGTGCAGAAGAGGTTCCATTGGTCTACCGTAGAAATCAGTTGCGCAGATTACTACATACAGCTAGTTAGCTAACTAACCACCAACTAGGTAAGCTACTACTGATAGACCGTCCGGACTCCAAAGCTCACGAGCGACGAGCCAATCTCGACCACGGTCCCTGTCCACCAACCCCGAAATCAGTACCTTTCTTAATACCCATTACTTTCTGAATCATCTCAAAAAAATTGTTACAGAAGAAAGAAAGAAAACAAAGATGGGATTCATCTCCCGCATTATCACACTCTTCGGCCTCGTCCTGCTCGCCCATGCGTACGTTGAACACAACCTACCTACATTGATCCCTCCACTTCACAGCGGCACTCAATAAGGAAACCCTGAACTAATAAGACAACCCCTATTTAAATACTATAGAGGCTACTCCGCCCACGAACACACCATCCTGTATAGCAACACCGCAAGCACAGCAAGCGGCGGCACCGCCCTCCCACTCGACATCGTCATCGAAGCCCTCGCATCGCTAGTCCTCGTCTCGGCGGGGCTTGTCCTCGGCGCAGAAAAGCTCAAGCCGATTAGTTGGAGTGAATGGGCGGGTCAGATTGAGCGCGAGGGTGGTGGGAGGAATCCGTATCGGAGGTTGGAGGAACGGTATGGGTTTTGGGATGTTAGGGTGAGTTTGACCCTACCCTTCTTTTGTGTCTGGAGGATTGGGGGTATTGGGAGGATGAGGATGGAGGTTGTGGGATTTGGGTTTGGGCTTATGCTGATGTGTTGGGGGTTCTAGGCGAAGAGAAAGGAGTTTGCGGATTGGATGAAGGGGGAGGTTCCTGTTCCTGGTAAGGAATGAGTTGAGGGGAACTTGGGTTTGTGGGGTATTAGGATGGGTTGGGATGGGATCGGTGTGGTGTGGTGTTGGGTATTATTTGGTTTGTATCATATATGTACGCTTGACTGATTGATGGGATTTGGAATGAAAAAGATACTTTGATTGATATGGTTGCTTATGATGGTTCTTGTCTTGGTTTGTTTGTATTGGATTGGGTGTTGGTTGGTTCAAAGGACTTGATATCAAGCCGTATGCTTGTTCGGTTTTGTGATCTACTGGTATAGATGCGGTATATCAGGATGGTATAGGGTCGAGCGTGGTATAGTCACTAAGCATCCATGGCTGGTTCAATCAAGCTGTCATAGAGCAGCGATGAAAAGTGCAGATAAGATGCTGACTTGGAACAGAAACTCAGTGGAGTAGGTGTATGCCTACACAATGCCTACCACTCACACACCAGACTTGACTGTGACTACAAATGCCTCAACCTCTACAGTCCTACCTACCTGCAGATATGCTCTACGCCATGGGCAACAAAGTGGGATAGTCCAGAACCGCCCACACAACGCCCAATACCCACCTGCAACGCGTATACCACCATCGCATCCATCGCTGACATCCAACATATCCAACCCTGCCATGGAGAATTCTTCCGTAAGATTATTAACGTTCTTCGCGCCCCAAGTTCCCGCGGACCATTTTCCGTCATGTTAATTGGAATGTTGTCCGTCCGGCGAACGGTTCGGTCTAGCCCCGGAGCTCAAGAGAAGTGAGTGGGTGTGATGGGATAGAGCGCCAATCATGAATGCATTCATTCTTGAATGAGCTTGCGCTGCGCTGCACGACAGGGATAGTGGCATGTAAGTAAAAGTGTGTGTGTTGAAGTAGTCGTGTACGAGAGGACGCGTCCACTCATTGATATTGTCACCAACATCGTCATCTCTTGAGCGTTTTCAATGATGGGTTCGGGAATCACGTCCGGAGTTGGATATTGTAGACTTTAGGTTCCCCCCTTCCCATTTCAATAGGAGTTTGCGCGGGATGACGCGGCTGGACAATGGGGGAGGGTGCTCGGTGTAGACACAGTTGACAGTAGATGTTATGTTCAATGCTGCTTGCTGGTAGGGTAAGTAGTTAGTTGTGCAGTCTGGTAGAAGTGGACACAGCAGGCATTGACTAAAAGCAGGAAGTAGTCTTCAAACTCGTGGCAGGTGCCATCGGCCTTCACTTTCTTAGTTCATCCATCCAAATTAGTCCTGCAGGTGACAAGAGACAGGCCACGCAAGAGTCAGTAGATCATTGAATTGTTAGTGAGCGAATGATATTCCACATGCATTTTATCGTGTTGTCAATCATCCATCGCAGTGGTATGCTCATCATGATAAATCTGGAAAGTGGTTGAGGCAATTCGGACCCCTCTCGCCTGACACATCCCAGTTCTCAATTTTGGACTTTCCATTCGGTTCTATTTAAGGTGCTGTGTCGCAAGCCCTCAACCCGTCTTGGCTTATACCAGCTAACTGAGTCGTCCAAGACGGGAGGTCAAGAACATGTCCAATAGGGGGAATTTACTTGAATTAGCAGTTCGTAAACGAGGAAGGAGATGGTGGGGTAAGTTGATGGGTTGATTAGTTGGGAAGGAAGAGAAACAAGCGCATGTCTAAAGCAAGACACGGACAACACAACGGCACACAGGTTAGGCCTTCTGACTGGTTTGAATGTAAGACATATCACGGTGACATGGAGGGTAAACGTAAGTAGTCCTCTGAAGCGATTCATTTTGTTTAGGTACGGTCAATATCCAATAGTGATTAGTGAGGCATTATCCAATGGAAATGGAAATAATAACGGGCATGGAGATGATGGATGCTCCAAGTGGGTATGAATACGAAGATCTATTAGTGGTAGGTATCTATAGGTGCAAGCATGAGGATGACAAGTCCCTTTCTAAGTACTTCCGTAGCATTTTACTGTGCTCAGTCTAGGTCTAGTTAGTCTAAAGACGGGGGAATTGGTGGGCAATAATAGTCAATAATGAGGAAAAGCAACGTAACCCAACCACCGCTACCAGCCTTACCCCGTAACCCCGAGAACGATAGGTCTTTTTTCTTTTGTTTCTTCTTTTCCCCTGTCTTCACGGGGGTAAAAACAGGCAATTTTAGCGACCACAAAGAAAATAAAACTCCGGACCATGGACCCTGTTATGTAACGTGTATGTGAGTTTTCACCGAAAGGACATCTCAGTTCAAAGGCTGGCGCCATCTACTACTTATCGATTGATTTCTTATTATAAATTAGTAGCAGTATTTATTCAATGCTCAAATTGGGTGGCGCCCCCACCAATCGAAGTGGAGGGTCTCAATCTCGACCGAATTAACGGGGGAAAATGGAGATGGCGTCCGAGGGTTGAGATTGAGACAAGGGCGGGATGGAGAGAGAGAGGGGCGGTTGAGCATTGGCAGGGTTAGGGAGAATTCTTAGCCTCGCCTAGATACTACTACGAGTCTGTGATGTCTTCCTTCTTTTAACCCTTGTGCCCTGCCATGCGTCATGTTCATCCCTGGAAGAGGGAGGGAGGGAGGTAGAGTTGAGTCGAGTATGAATCCAGTGTGTTCATTATTGCCTAGTTGATAGGTATGGAATACGTGTGCGAGGCCCTACTGTATTTCCCTTGCATCACGCGGGTGGTAATTAAGTAAAATGTCCGTATCCGACCCTCTTGGAGCCCGGAGATTTGAGACCCCTGATACCGCTGTACCTTACGGTAGACTGGTCTGGCCTAGTGCCATGTCTTAAATGGAGGAGGGCCGGGGGAAAGTTAGTATGAAAGAAGAAAAGCAAAAGAAGAAAGAAAATAAAATAATAAAGAAAAGGATTGATCGACACTTCCCAAGTCCATGCACACCTCGCATCGGTTGCATACGTACGCTTTGCTCATGTAGGAACAAGACCAGACAGCAACTGTGCTCTTGGCATCTTGCAGGTCAACTCTACTATTTACTAACTAGTTCTGTCCTTCTCTTATTTATGGTTGATGTTAATTATTTTTCCGGATCAGCTCTACTCCGGAAGAAGACCGAGAATGAAAGGTGCGTAGAAGTTCTTATGAGCCATGCAGGGGTCGAATCACGTTCTATTGTGCGGTGGTGCCGAAGGGCTCGTCATGATCTTACGTCAGGTATCGATTGTGAGGGTTGGGATGGATGGATGATGCGTCTTTAGGTGGTTTGTTACGTGGACAAGCAGGATGTGGCAGTAAATGAGGCTTGCTATCGGTTAAGCATTGCCGTTGCTACAGTATCTTCCATATCACCAGCTTGTCTGTCGGTCGAACCCGTCAGTTGTTGTTCTTCTTCGGAGTGGCGTGCCTGACGGCTATGAAAGGCTAGACTGGTCGGATGTACTGCCTCGTATGACAAGCTTTGAATGCGTGGCTGGGAAAGACAAGACAGGATAGGACAAGGCATTCATGCGGTGGCAGGCATGCTTCGTACGTTAGGACTTGAATAGTCTCTTTTGCCTTTTTTTTTCTTTGCAATTTGCCAATTTGGCTGGTCCATGCGGGCCGGTGGTGCGCATACCACAGCGGCCCTAAGGATGGGTGACTCCGGTAATCTTAAGATTTAGTGGGAAGGGTGAAGGCCCGCCCCTTCAGTGGTGCTCTGACTGTCCAACGTCTATTTTACTCTGTAGTTCTGATTGACGGTTTAGTTGACTAGATATTTTGTACCACTTGCTCCCTTAAGTCTAGGCTTGAAACCTTCAAAACAAGGTTAGAATGAGTATCATGCCCAGGAGATATCCCTTAATAATATGAACTTGATCAATGACCCTAAACTCAAAACAGATGTAACAAAAGAGACAACAACAACAAACAGATTGAGAGACTGGGCTTCCCAATTTTTCTTTGCTTTTCTCCCACCCCCATCATTAATTGCTTCCATTCCCACTTCGGCCAAGGGC